TTGCTCAATATTCATGCAGTGCAATGATTGGGTATTTTCTGATTAGACTTTAGACGTTGTTTTCATAGTACGTTATTTGGTGCGTGCGTTGTGAGAAAAAGAGCGGAAAAAACACATTTTAACGTAAAAATTATACAATAAAAATAAATGCGAACCTTTCACATCCCGATAAATCTTGAAATCACTCGACGAGGCTCTTGCAAAGGCTACAATCATAACACTTGCCAAATGAGCTTATATGATTATATTGGCGCGAGCAACATACCACTCTACATGCTAACATATGCGTCGATGGGGAGGAAGGGGGGTCCACAGGATAATTTGTTTTTACGAACTGAGTTGATAATGTAACAGGCCACTGCAAAAATTTTTAAAGCGGAAGTTTCCAACAGACGAAGGGCTAACGCTCGCTTATACTTCACATACAGCTTAGTTAACGTTCGTTTCCTATATTTTATACTTGGCTGTACTCGATTGCTTAGTTGAGAGTGAAAAGAAACTAAAAATCATCCGAAGACTCCTCAATTTTACGAAACGAAAATTTCAGAGAATTATGGTTGCAATTCTGAGGATTGAAAACAAGTGGTAACTGATCAAAGATTTCCAGAGATGCTACGAAGTCTGATTTGTTACAAAATGCCGAATAAAGGTAGATCAACTTTTATGGAGAGGGAGTAACACCTAAAATCTGTATTGAAATATTTCGTTTGATATCTTTAAGTATCTCCGTTCATTCCATCCAAGGAGGGAATTTAAAAAATTAACCGATTGGTTTAACGAATTCATCAATAAATACATGTCACGTTGAGAGAGATGGCAATAGTGATTCAGTAGACTTAGAACCTGAAAGAGTATTCATGCTTTACACCATGCGTATATCGAGTTATGAATGCGCGCAAGAACTTAATTGGAAAGTACGAGAGAAGTGATTTGTTGCTTGCTACCTGTCCAAGGGAAAAAAACCAGATTTTCTCCGTTAGTTTTTAATAGATCTGTATTGAATCCAAGCAACCGCATTAGAGTCTATGAGTCAGCCTTTGACTCAGCCTTGAGTCTAACGAAAAATTCAAAAGTGGGTCAGCAACCTTGTCAAAGTTTATATTTGCGAAAAACCCGTTCTTCCTCAAGAAATTTTTTGATAAACGAGGAATTTTCGGTTTCCAGTCTATGCTAATAACACTGAAAGCTAAAATTAAAAAAGCATTTCCTTGCCACACACCCTGTCCTTCGAGCTTCATTAGGGAAACTGAAAGACGCTTTTCAGCTAGAAAGAAAGTAAATGTAAGCCACTTGAAACTCTGTGAAAAGGGCTCGAACATCTCATTCTACGCATGGGTCATGCCGCACACAAACCCTATTACTGACTCTGGGAATGCGTTAGTGACAGGCAAAGACCCTAACACTGCCTACACAAACGAATCAGACGTAGATATGGTGATAGAAACTGATATTCAATTCTTTCAAAATATAATATTGTTTTCATTTCTTCGTATGAAATTTTATAGCAGCTACATTTTCATTTTCATGAATTTTGTTCTTCATGCCTTAGTTTTGAAAGCTTTTGATTGGAAGTGTTAAACTTTACGTTTCTTAACGTCAATTTTACAAAATTGTATTTCCAAGTCATGTTTGTCACAGGAGTGTTCCTTTTAGTTCTTTTAAAATTCAAACTCGCTTTTAAGCTAGAAAGAAAGTACATGTAAACCACTTGAAACTCTGTGAAAAGGGCTCGAACATCTCATTCCACGCGTGGAGCATGCCGCACACAAACCCTATTACTGACTCTGGGAATGCGATAGTGACAGGCAAAGATCTAACACTGCCCACACGATCGAATCAGATGTAGATATGGTCATAGCAACTGATATTCAATTATTTCAAAATAGAATATTGTTTTCATTTTTACGTTATGAAATTTTCTGGCAATTACATTTTCATTCTCATAAATTTTGTTCTTCATGCCTTAGTTTTGAAAGCTTTTGATTGGAAGTATTAAACTTTACGTTTCTTAACGTCAATTTTACAAAATTGTATTTCCAAGTCATGTTTGTCACAGCAGTGTTCCTTTTAGTTCTTTTAAAATTCAAACTCTGATTGATTCCCTGACGAGTGGTATGTTTCACCCGTTGTAAAACTAATATCCTAATCCATGATTACCGTAAGTTCGACATAAGTGCCCGTACTTGGTAGCACAAAAAGTAATATTAAAATATTTTAGGACAACTTTCTCTATGAACCAAAATATGAGATAGTCGGCACAATTTGTTATCAGAAGTAGACATGAACAGAAGACTGGGTTAAGAACGTTCAATTTCGCAAATCTCTTCAGTTCTTTCTGTCTTTTACCCTAAACTAAGGCTAATGTAAGGTCTTAGTTTAAGTTGAAGGTAGAAAAATGTTTCCGACGACCACACTGTCTAAGGATCGTCTTCTTTGTTACCCGTGTTATTACCTTGGATCAGCGCAGAACCTCCCGCAAAGCATAATTGCCTCAGTTTTTCCCCTTAAAGCCCGTGATCAACAAAAGTGGTTCAACGGAAAATATACCAGTACGAATAAACGAATTCCCGTTTTGTGTTTGGTCGAGTGTGGCGTGTACATTTTGCTGAATAATCATTTCTCAAAATAGAGGCTATTTCTACACCAGACTGAATAAAAGTCATGTTGAAATTTATCATTTGGTTCAAATTTTGCTCCATATCCTCAATAATTTCAGAACGTATAAATTTCTTGGAGAAAGAAATTGAGCGAGCTACCTGTCTGTTACCATCAAAGGCAAATTGTTTTTCAGTTACGTTACAAAATTTGTACATATCGCCATCAATTAACATTAATTCGTGTATAATCGTGTGAAAAGCCAAAATAAAAAACGAAAGAGTTCCATAGTAATGTGGTAACTTTCAAGAAACAATTTTCATTAAATCAAAAGTGAGGAGATCCTTACAAACCAGGTATAACAACATGTCACTCAACATGGCAGGAGAGAGAAGGTGATCTGTGAATGACAAATATGAACCAAGCCAAACAGAAAAGGGTTGCCAATAGTAACGAATCCTAAAAACGAGTTAGTTCTAACTATCCATGGTTAAATTTGGTAAGATCAGAGAATTTGTACATTTCACTAGCAGGAAACTTCTCTTGAACCACATGGTTGTGGAAAAGTGATTTGTCAAAAAGAAAGCCGACAGACGTTTGTTTTTAAAAATACAAATACAAGGTATAACTTGTTTGCACAATTTAAACATGAGCAAAATTTAATGTGCTCAGCAGTGAGTACAATCATTAATCATGATATGAATATTGAATATGAATATTTTTGTCCATGCCTATTAAGGCCTGGACAAAAGTCATTGGAAGAAAAAAACAAAGATAGTAAAGAGAGACTCTGTAGGGGGAACAGATTCACTTTGGTCAGGTAACCAAACAGGCGTATCTCTGAATATCAACTGCTTTATCCTATCAAGTAAAGAACAACTCGTGGCCACTGAACTGATTTTCGTGAGTCATCATTTCTATTGAAGCAAAATTGATCAATCATACCTTATTTCATCTCTTATAGGTCGAATTTACCACTACAATGAGGATGTACTTAG